ATTATCTTCTGTGTCTGTATTTATTGGTTTCCCTTTTCTTTGTTGAAGAGGGTCTGTGCAATCCTTCTGCCTAGTCCGCCATCTTGCCCCGCCTCTTCAATCTGAACTTTCTTGATTTTCTTTTTTCTACTTCACAGTTTCTTTATGTTCCCCCTGTTCTTTCTGACTTCCCTTCTGTGGTCTTTATTCCATCATTCTAGCTTCTTCTGGAACCTTCCATAGACAAGCTAAGTCCCCTAGTTTTTCATTACTCTTAACCATATATCCTAACTACCTGTTTGTAAGCCTACCCAAGTTTCTAAGTTAAAGAAATAAACCAGCTTTTCTAAACTCTTAAGCTTCAGTCCCAGCTTTCTCATTCCCTTCTTTTCTAATCTTCCCTAAGCATTTTCTCCTTAACTTTATCTCTTTTTTAAGTCTTTTATATAAGCTTTTTTTTTTTTTTTGAAAATCCCCTAAACAAAACCAACAAGCCATATTTAAGCCATAAGCCTATTTGATGCCTTCCGTTCTGTTGAAACTCTTTCCTATCCTTTTGTATGTGTGTGTGTGTCTGTGTGTGTATGTGTATGGTTTTTCTGACTCCTAAACATTGTATTGTTCTTGTTTTGCCTGTTTTTTCTCCTTTTGTCCCTCTTCTTCCACATGCCCCTTAAGTGTGCCCTTCTAGACTACCTAGAGAACAAAACAGTTGAAAGTTCATACCAACTTACTGATTTTTTGAGGAATTTCTCATCATTAATTAAAAAAAGTGATATGATTTTCAAATAAACATTTTAATGTTGTTACTAAGGTTTAACTTTTAATATTTAGGCAGGTGCTGTAAAGGATTATATTAAGGTGATGCTTCAGAACGAGTCACTAAAATTTCTGGTTTTTGCTCACCATATAAGCATGCTCCAAGCTTGCACAGAAGCAGTCATAGAAAGCAAGGTATGTTACAATTTTATTTTATAAAATATTTTCTAATGCAGATTTTTAATATACTAAACATCCAGAAGGCTAGCGGTTCAAACCCACCAGCCACTCTTCAGAAGGAAGGTTAGGCAATCTACTTCCGTAGTGACACTACCTCAGAAACTCAAGGAGGAGTCGCTATGAGTCGAGTCTGACTTAACGGCACATAACAACAACAACAACAAACATCCATTGTTATCTTATAACTGAGCTTATTTGCCTTCTTTAGATGATGGTATATAAACTGTTATTGGATATTTTTCTTGTTGATGTTAATATTATATTACTATTAAAATTATGATATAATATTAAATGTTTACCTTAATACTATCTTATAATTTTCCTTTGATCACTTTATCTGAATTGATGAAAAATATGCTTGATAGGCCATAATGTGAATTCCATTTTTGTTCCTGGGTACACCATTTGAGAGTGGTTTAGTCACTTAAGCATCAACAGTTTTGTATACTCACAAGGCTGCTTTCGGCTGTTGGTGATGCAGAGGCAAAAGCAAGAATGAATACCACCAATTTTAGCGCCTAACTACAGTCATACCTTTTAAACTTCTAAGTAGCATATTCTCTACAAAGTGTGATTATTATGATTTAGTATAAATGAATTTGGAATGTATAGGCCAGGTAATCCATCAGGTTAGCTTTACCAAATCTACTTGCTTTATTGCATTTTCTTAGGTTCACCTACTTTTCCAACAGTCCTGTCGATGACAGACTTCCAGTTTTTTGTGTCAGAGTTTAAACCTGTTATCTGTTCTCTTAAATGCTGAGGACTTTTAGAAATGCTTAGAAGCTGCAATGAGCTATTTCCTGACAAATTGTGTGAGCTTAATATATATGTTGCAGCAAAGACACTTGCCTGAGTATGTAGGTTTTTAAATGGAGCAGTAGAATTATATGCTTGAAAACTTTGTATATAATTTTTAAAGCGTTAGCTAATATGCTCGTTATAATTTCCAAAGAAGTAATTCTGGCATTTCCTTCAGAAAAAGATTTATGATGATATAATAGTGCTATTGAGAGCTCTGGTGGCGTAGTGCCTAAGGCATTTGACTGCTAACCAGAAGGCTGGCGGTTCAAACCCACCAGACACTCCTCAGAAGGAAGATTAGGCAATCTAGTTTTGTAATGATACTGCCTTGGAAACCCAAGGAAGGGTCTCTGTGAGTCAGATCCAACTCGACAGCAATGAGAATAGTGCTATACATTAAGAGGTACTTTCTCGTTGATTATCCAATAGTTTCTGTAAAACATCCTCTGAGAAAGTTAATTAACCTTAAAATATTGTTTAAATGATGGAGCAATAAAATTAGATTTATTTGTTCTTATTTTGATTCCATTATACCTTAACCCTTTCATGACCCATGGGATATAGTGTGCCCACCTATATTTTCTGCCCCTGTGGTTTAGTGGGAAGCTTCTATCCCACTTTTAGTGTATGCTGCCATTTGGTGGGGACCTGTATAACTGCATGAATCTGAAGATACTGGCCTCACCCACCAACACTAGTACCAGAGATCCCTTGGGACATAATGTGTCCCACTAATTGTATCAAAATCCATATTACCTCAAAAAAAATTTTTTTTCATCTCATTCAGAATTCCTTCCATTACTAAAAACAGGTGATTTCAGCAAAAAATTCAAAGTAGAAAATAATTCAGTCTTGAAAGGGTTAAAAGAACTGTATTCTACCCCAAATAGTCTCTCTTTTTTCACCCACTTCTACTTCACTGACTTGTCAGAATGCCCTTTCATGTCAGTAAGAGTTAAAGATGCAAACAGTCATGGGTTTGGAGGTAAACATCTCCTAAACGCCCTCTAGCCTGATTGAGAATATGTGTTCTTTAGAAAGACCCTCAAACTGTATAGCCTCCCTTAATGGATATTAAATGGATCACTGGTCAATTGATACCTATTTTGTAAAGACAGAAAGTTAACATGGAGCATTCTATTTAATGATTAGCTCGGACATTCCTTTTAAAAGTGAACATTCTTGTGTCTCAACTAAGGCTATTTGAAATTCAGGACTTATACTTGCATTTAAGAACGTGAGTAATGCATTCCTTTTAGCTATTATAACACTCACTGATTAATCCCTTTTCTCAGCTTAAATCATTCTTAAAGATGGCACTGTCAGTTTAGCACTTAATGTTTCCCTATTTTGAAAAATGTGTGTGTCTGTGTCTTGGTTTCCCACCTTAGTGGAGATGACCATATTATATATTTCTTTTACTTTTAATAATATCAAAAAAAGATAACTCATGTTGTATATTAAAATGATTTTTCCCCAGGTAATATTTGGGATATTTCAGAAATACATACATACTGTTCTTCATGATCCTTAACACATTAGAAGTATGTGGACAGAATATATCACTCTACTTTCTCACTTATCTGGGTTTGGTTTAACTTTGGAATTAGTGATCCTGTATCTCTAAAGAAAATCTAAACCATCATTTAATGTTTGCATATCAATTTACACAGATATATACTGAAGACAGCCATAGCTTAATTCAGCAAAGTTTTGTGAAGTTCCTGATAATATGCAGGAATTGCCCTTGGCATTGTTAGTATGAAGATGAATTAGATACACATGCTACTTTCAAGCACCTTAAACCTTATTAAGGAAAGAAGGAATTATTGTAATATAAGAAGCTATTAAGAGAAGCAGATATGAGAACCTAGCTGTGTTCTATTAAGGTAGACATTAAAGAAATTGATAAACATTAAAAAAATTTTAAGAAGCTATGAAAAAATATGTCTAAGTTCTTCTTGTTAAGATGACACCTGTCATCTTAACCAATTTCCATTTTTATGTGAACATAAAAATGATCCATAAAATATATAAAATGAGATGGGTGCATAGGGGTTTGTTCTAATTTTACCATTTCCCTTGTGGACTCTAGACTCGTTACATTAGAATAGATGGAAGCGTTCCATCTTCAGAAAGAATACACCTGGTTAATCAGTTTCAGAAGGATCCTGATACTCGTGTGGCTATCCTAAGCATCCAGGCTGCTGGTCAGGTAAGAAATTTCTGGTCTAAGTCTGATAATGAAATGTCATTGAGATAATAAAAAGACCATTAGCCATAATTAAAACATTTATATCTGAATATCTAGTGAAATAAATATTCATTCTGCTTCAGAGAATGCTAGAAAATATACTGGAAGGAGGCCTCAATACCTTTGACTCAAATCTTCCTAAATTTGCAAGGGAAGAATTTCCTAGAAGAGCTTAATTAATTTAATTGTCATTATTTTTCAAAGTCTTCTTTTCTTTCGTTTGAATTTGCATAGATTTTTTTGGATACCTCTCTTATAGCGCTTACCTTTCTTTGTTGTGTTACACCAGCATCTGAGGGAAAAGAACTTTTCTCAGAACTTTGTGTGGCATGCGCCTGGTCTGTCCATGTCTCAATTAGGATTCTATTTGGCTGCAAGTAAATGAAAAACAAATTAAGGGTGACTTAAACACACAAAATTTAATTCTTTTGTAGAGACAGTCCAAATCTAGCTATTCCAACTCATTGCAACTCCTCCTTGGGTTTCCGAGGCAGTATTTCTACAGAAGTAGATTGCCCATTCTTCCTTCCAAGGAGTGGCTGGTGGGTTTGAACCATCAGCTTTCTGTAGCTTTAGACACTACACCACCAGAGCTCCCTTTAAATACACAAAATTTAACTCTTGTAGAGATAGTCCAAATCTAGCATAGTGGTTCCACAAAGTTCTTAGACCTAGGCTGCTCCATCACATCTACAATCCAGGCAGCAAACTGAGGAAAGCAATACTTACAGGTCATTAGTCTGAAGGTAGTTCCATAGCCACACTTAATCTGAAGGGAAGCTGGGAAGTAAATAAATAAAGTTTACTCTCTATTCCAGGTAGCTCCACTAAACACTGGGTGTTATGTTACAAAGGAATAGAATAGACAGCAGGGAAGGCAGCGCCAGTCTCTGCCATACTAAGAAGAGGTAATTCTTCTGGACTTTTTTTACTGCTAACATTCTAAAACATTTTGATATAAATATTTAATCCAGGATATTTAATTAACATAGGGAAAGTAATTGAACATACTTCTGAGCACTCAACCTGGTGCACATAATTTCTGGAAATTTCTGGGGGTCTTCAATATAGACTAAGGCCAAAGGATCTGCTTTTACTAATTGATGTATATGAAATTATCTGTATATAGGAACTCCCTGAGAATGAAGCAGTTCCAGAACTCAAATAAGGTTTATCCCAACACTTCTGTCACATTGGATTAAACTTCCATGAATCTGAACTTTATATCTGTTAGAATATAGCAACCATGGAGAACATCAACAAAAAGAACTTAAAATCAGAAATGGGGTATTCATCTCTCTTTCTCTCTTTCACTTCCATCGAGTCAGATCCAACTCATAGAAACCCCTCTTTGGGTTTCCGAGGGGTATCACTATGGAAGTAGATTGCCCAACCTTCCTTCCAAGGTGGGTTTGAACCGCCAGCCTTCTGGTTAGCAGTCAAGTGCCTTAGGCACTATGCCACCAGAGCTCCTGTGGTGGTATTCATAGAGGAGATGATAAGTAGGAGGAAGTGAAGAGAGTCTGGGAATGGCCTAATAAGGCCTTTTGAAATTATACAGGACACTTACATCTTATTCAAAACTGTGTTTCTGAAGACCTTGTATAATTCAAAACTCTTATACTTGAAGACTAATATTCTCATATGAATAACAGGAAGTAAAAAAGGCTATATTCTTGCTGTGTGTGAATCTTTCATTTTTATTTAACAGCATCTTAGAGTGACTTGACTGATCTTGTCAGCATTTTTCCCTCTCTTCTTGTGTAGTCCTATGATGCATCCAACGAACTTAAGGCTGTCTCCCTCCTTAAATACAGCTTATAGCTTTTTCAGCGTTACCTCTAATATTTGGTGGAGTTTCTTGTCCTAAATTGCATTACAGTTCAGTGTAGTGATGGTTTATTTCTCTCCATAGTTTTAGTACGTCGAATTTCTGTTCCAGAGTGACTGATTTTCAGTGAAATTTTCAGCCACCATTTAATGAGTGCTAGTATGATACTGTTACATGATATAAAAGCATTTTTTAATTGAAATAACAGTACAGTAGTCACAAAAGTCACTCACAGACATTCCAGTGTCAAGTGAACACCAGCATGGATTAGCCGATACTCCCAAATGGTGTTGGGTACTGCTGCCGACCACCTAACATCTTTTACTATCAAGTAGTAATAACATAAATATGATTCATAATTCACTCGATGTCCAGCTTTAACATCATGTATTTCTTGACGCAATTTTAGTTTAAGGTGACTTGCATTATTTCATATATTAATTATAAAACAAGAATTGAGTATTTTTAATATCACACTATTTCCTTATGAAGTTGGAAAAAAAAGGAATTACAGTATAGCTATATTGAGACATACATCAGTAAATTTTAGGGTCTTCAGGATGCAACATGAAAAAGAAAACAGTATGACTAGATACATGATTTCTTTGCTTTATTGCATGATGATACGAATTAGATGAATAGAGAATGTCAGCATTCTCTGCCTAGTTGCCATGGATACCATGTGTTAGAAATTATATTCTAGTTTATAATGCATTTTATTAGATTTTCCTGTGGTAATATGAATCCAGGGAGCTCTGGTAGCATAGTGCCTAAGGCACTTGACTGCTAACCTGAAGGCTGGCGGTTCAAACCCACCAGCCACTCCTCAGAAGGAAGGTTGGGCAATATACTTCCATAGTGATACCACCTCGGAAACCCAAGGAGGGGTCGCTATGAGTTGGGTCTGACTCGATGATACATAACAACAACAACTATATGAATCCAGGCTTTACAAGAGAGTAAAGTGATTTTGTTCATATATATCCACCAAGCTGACTTTTGAAATCTTGAAATACATCTTTAAGTGTGTTTTTATAGTTCACCTGGCTATCTTGCAATAAGTAGTCTTCATTTGCCTTCCATGAATTACATTTTTCTTAATTTTGCTTAAAATGAAAGACTGCTTTGTTTTCAAGTCCTTCAGTGTTCTCTCAAGCTCTTAACATGTTTAGAAAAAAATTATTTTACATGGTTCTGTATTATGTTCTCAGTTTATTTGCATCTCAAATTATTTGGTATGTTTTGCTTAGGGTTTAACATTTACTGCTGCAACGCACGTTGTATTTGCTGAGTTGTACTGGGATCCTGGACATATCAAACAAGCTGAAGACCGTGCTCATCGAATTGGACAGTGCAGTTCTGTGAATATTCACTACCTCATTGCAAACGGGACTCTTGACACACTTATGTGGGGGATGTTGAATCGTAAGGTAAAGCTTGAATTTAAACCAGTTTACCTACTTACTCATTATGATCCATAGCTTGTATAAGTTCACAGGCTGAGTTTTAAGTCTTTTCAAAGAAAAGGTACTTACCTATATGAAGATAATGATAGTAGAAACCAAGTTCAGAAAAGACTTCAATTGGTAGTACACTACCTGCTGTCCACTGTAATAAAAATAATAAGAAAAGGTCATGAATTTTTATGTCCTCCTACTGTCTTCCAAACCATTCCTCACCACTTTACAGGCTAGAAGTATAAAATCAGCTATCAAGAAACTATAATGCTTTCAACCCCCATGTCTTTTCTGTAACTTAAGAGTGAACCCTTTTCAGAAGGATTCTTGGGTTTCCAACTAATTTTGGACAGAGAACAACCTATGGCTGGACTCTAAAACAGATAGGAGGGATGTTCTTTGCTCTGTCCCCCTGTCTTGTCTCCTCAACTTTGAGGGAACTTGACTAAGGATTAGAGGATGTTTTTCAAGCACTGGGTGTAGATAATCAAAATGACCAATCATACAAAAGTTAAATTCAAAATATAAAATAATAGACTGAACGTTTAGTATAACTACTCTGGTTAGATCTTTTCCTCATTAAGCATAAGAATCATTAACTTGATATTTTGATTTTAATTTTGAATAATTATATTACTGAATCTCATGATATGCTGAAATGGTAAGGATTTGTTTATAAATAGCCTGAGATTTAACTGTAAAATCGAGTTACTACTTAGTGAATGTCAGTGGTTAAAATGGCTGTCAGAGGATGTAAAATTCATATGCCATCTGTCTTACAGGCTCAAGTTACAGGGAGCACATTGAATGGCAGGAAGGAAAAACTTCAGGCTGAGGATGGTGATAAGGAAAAATGGGATTTCCTGCAGTTTGCCGAAGCTTGGACTCCTAATGAAAGTTCTGAAGAGCTCAAGAATGAAGTTTTATTCACTCATGTAAGTTTATGTGACTGATTCTGTTCTGTTTTATTAATATCCTGAAACTATACTTCATTGTATACTGTTTTAAATAGCAACTCTCAATTATTCATGCAATTGAAGAGACTTCACATAAAGCTGGAAACTTCTTAGAATGAGAAGATAACATTGATGGAGGCTGGGACACTGGCTCCTTTCTCCCAACAGAGTTATATCTCGATTCTCACTGTTCAGCTTTTAGATAAATAAGCTGAATACAATCCAACCTTCTGAAGAAAATACAGGAGACCATTGTTATGGCCCTGAGGGCAGTGAACAGGGTATTAAATTTGCCACAAAATGCACAAACCATGAAGGAAAAGATTGAGGTACTTAACTATATCAAAGTAAAATAAAATTGTTCTGCAAAATATACTGTAAATAAGTCACAGACTCAGTAAAGATGTTTGCATTACATTGTTCAAAGTATATAAAGAACAAAACAGATCAGTTTTGATTTGAAATGTAGAAAAGCAAATAAAAATGTGCAAAGAATATGAGCATCAGAGACCTGAATAGCCAGTGCACATGAAAAGAAGTTCTGCTTCACTAAAATATAACAAATAGGAAAAGTCCCTTTTTCCTTTTCAATAAGTAGGTAATCTGTAGTGTGATACTTGAGATCATATGACTGTCCTATTCCCAAAACCTTTCACCTAGTGAATGAGGTCATATTACACCTGTAATTCAAATCCAGCACCCATTTCCCAATTATCTATATAAATATTAAAATATTTATATTTTCCTTATACACTTGGGAGAATAATTAGTCAATATTGAGTAAAATTGGGAATGCCATCAGCTATTTTATTGCTAGGAATGTACTCCCACACATGTGTAAGGATACATGCACAAGGATATTTATTGCATCATTTTTTAGAATTCAAAAAAATGAAAATAACCAAAATTTTTGTCAGTAAGAGAATAGATAAATTGTCATGTTATGAGATACTATTTAGAAGTTAACATGAATGAATTACATTTATATTCATTCAATGTATTAAAATGACCAGATGTTGAAAAAAATGCATTTATGAATACATGTGTTTCTAATAAAATATATAAATAGATTAGAAGAATACATACCAAATTTATACTATTGATTGCCTGTAAGAGGAGAAATAGAGGGCTAGGGTGGAGTAAAAATAGGATATTATCAACTTCATCAAAAATGTTTCATTTCTTTTTTTTTTTT